TTTCTGATGTAAGTGAAACTTTTTAATAGCTTTCTGTCTTCAGTTTGATCAGTTGATGTGATTGGATTGAAGATATTTTAGAGTAGAGTTGAGCACATAATAATTGAGGATTACTGAGCCAATATTCTTAGTTTGTTTATTCTGTCTGCTTTTTTACTTATTCAGATTAAAAAGACATTTCCTAAGAAAAGTCTCCCATCTGCTCCCCCTAAAGGTCTTTTGCGAATGAAGAGCAGGGCACTCTTGGAAGAGGTTAGTACAGTAGCTGAGCAATCATCTGTTTTTAAACTCTTGGCTGAAACTTAAAATTGGTGAGCCTAACTATAGCAATACTCTTTTAATGACCTGCTTTAGCTATAATACCTTGTTTCATGCATACAGCAATACTAAATCCTTAATCCAAAAGAACGAGGCCAATATAAAAATAAAATAAGATAAGATTTTCTTATATTATCTTTGATTACATTGATCCATGATTGATGTATGTGGGCATCAAATAATTGGAACAAAGTTTTTCCTTTTTGGTTGCAGCGAAGGTGCTCTTTGGAAGAGTGGATATTAAAACTTCTTTCAGACATTGATATATCTAGGTGTATGCCTGTGGCATCCTTTCTCGAACTAGAAGCAGCTGCTAGATCATGTATGTGCTCCCATGCTCCGTTACAGCTAAGACATATCTACACTATGTGTGCCCATTCCTTTTATCTATTTCCATTGATATGCACGTCTTATATTCTCTACTCCCATCACCTGCACAAATAAAATCAAGTACATTTGGTTTAATGTACTCCCTTCGTTTTCTTTTGTTCTTGTTTAGAATCTATATAATATTCACAATTTGTAGGAATCTATATAATATTCACTATTTGTAGGAATCTATGTAATATTAATTTGTAGGAATCTTCTAAATTATTCCCAATATGTAAGATAAAGAATAGTAATTCCAGTTATCTGTTATTAATAGTCAAAGATGTGCATTGGCAACATGAACAGTCAACACATGAAGAACAATAGAAAACGGAGGGAATACATTGGTATTGCAAAGTTTCTTTTAACATATACTAATATCATAATGTGACCTGTAGTGTTTATTATAAATTGGCATGTATTATAGCGTTGTTATTGTAAGAAAAGTTGTTATTTGGAATAAAATAAAAAAAAATAAAAAATAAAATAAAATAAAAATAAAAGGCACTATTGGCTATAATTACTTCTACTTTTGATGGGAGGTATAACCATATATCTTGATTGATACTGATGACATTTATCTGTTGTCTCAATTCTTCTAATTGTTTTAAAGTTCACTATTTTCTCCTTTTATTTCTAGCATTTCAAGAAAGTCAGCAGCCTTCTGAAGCAAATCCTTCTACAACTAGCAGTATATCTTCAGATCAAAACCATTCAAGTTTAAGCTTAGCTGCTCTTGCTGGCAGTTCATCAATCGCATCAGATTACGGTAGTGACACTGCTTATGAAACTTCTGAACTTGGAAGTCCTAGTTTTGGAAGGGATGATGTTTCTGAACTCGGTCTAGAAGAATTGACATTGGATGAAGATCTGACAAATCCAATGGAAAAGATAACCAAGTACAGCATGTCTAATATTGACGAAGGGCTGTTGATGGGAGAAAGTATTTTGGATCAATTGGAAAGTTTCAAAAAGCATAAGGTGCAAAGTAGACTCATTGCAGATAATGGGAGTGCTTCAAAGTCTGTCGGTTTAGCTCTTGATAGAGCAGGAAGTTCATTTGAGGCGGAGCCTATCAAAGCGGTCAACCATGTACGGAAGCCTTCAAATGAGAGTATAGGGAGTGACTTGAGTTCGTATAGAGGCGGTGAAATGTCAAATTCATGGACTCCTAACTTGTTCGGGGATGCATCTCTTGACCTCCCCAGTGGAGCTGAAGCTTCTAGGACCATGGGGAGTCCTAGCAATTCAGAACTGCAATATAGTGTTGGAGATATAGTTCTACCAAGAGATCAACAGCCTAAATTAGATAGAATTCTTATGATCATGCAGCGCAGATTAGTAACTGCGAAAACAGATATGGAGGATCTTATTACAAGATTGAATCAAGAAGTTGCTGTCAAGGAATACCTTACAACCAAGGTAATTACGGTTTTGTTATCATTGCAAATAGTGTAGTAACTTATTATTTCTTTCATTTCCTTGTAAGGTTGTTTGTTGGTCAGTCTCATGTGTTTCCTCTTTTCCAGGTCAAGGATTTGGAAGTTGAACTTGAAACTACTAAAGAGAAGAGTAGAGAAAACCTCCAGCAGGCATTGTCACTTGAAAAAGAAAGGGTTACAAAAATGCAGTGGGATATGGAGGAACTACGGCAGAAGTCATTAGAATTTGAGCTCCAGTTGAAATCTCAAAAGGTTCATTCCTATCCAGTTGCTTTTTAATTTTCCATGTATCGACTTATCGTACTTCTTGACAAAATTGTATAACTCTCGGAAAATCTCCAGGATGCTAAGTTGCCAGCAGACTCCACGAGGTCAGATGCTTTTCCAGAGAAGGATGAATTGTTGCGGGAGTTGGAAGCTACAAAAGACCAGCTTAGTATCTTGTCAAAGCAACATGAAGAATTAGAGGTGAAATCTAAATCAGATATTAAGCTGCTTGTTAAGGAGGTTAAATCTCTGAGAAGATCTCAAGTTGATCTGAAGCAAAAATATGATGAATCAGTACAGGAGAAAATTGAAGTGGAGGTAGGTATTTTGGATTTTGTTTTCTGTCTGAAAGTGTTGCTTTCTCGTGTAATTTAAGTTGGCAGAATAAAACTTATTTAATTTTTGGTTTGGGGTAGGGGTGTGGGGGTGAATTTCTTGTATTCTCAATTCATTTTTTTTAGTTAAGTTTATTTGTGCAAACCAAGTAGTTATGGAGATGCAGTGCCTTCAGGATGTCACTAAGATCTTGGTGAGTTGTGGTAAAATTTGGTATATTGTAGGATTGCTGGTTAAATGGAGACCCATAAGAGTAAATTTGTGATTTCTCAACTAGTTTTGGTCAAGGCTCATGGCTGCTTGTTTATAATTATGATCCATGCGCCCTTTTTTAAGTAGAAACTTAAATATAGATAGAGATCTATATTGTTTTTGAAAGTTTAAGCTTACCCATCTGTTGCTAATCGTCACCATGTCTTCTTGGCCGGCTGTTACCTATGATGGTCTCCTTACTCACCTATATTGGCTTTTACTTTTAGCACTTGCGAGCAATCGCTAATCTTACACCCATGGTCTTGTTATGTCCCTGTTTCTGTGCCATCTTCTTTATTTCATCTTGTTTTTAATTTTATTTTTTCAGCAATCTAGCAAACTTTTACGAGGTTAGGGGATCTTGTGTGTCTGGAAAATCGTAGTGTGCAAAGTTAATGCATGACTTTGCCTTTACATCTCCACTAATGCTAAAGAATCTTCTTTCTTCCTCTTTACCTTTGCTCATGCTTGTCATATTTCTCAGCAACTCTTACAGCAAGAATTGGAGAGAAGTAAACTTGATTTGGCTGCAAGGAGAAAGCTTTTACATGATTCTCAAACCCTTCAGACTCGGCTTCTGGAGTGTAATATTAAAATCGCAGATGATAATTTTGCGGTTGATTCATCCTCAGTATCAGATGTTTTAGATCTCCTTGCAGATTCTGACAAGCAGATTGATCTTCTCTTGGCAGAGGTATATGCTGCTTTAAGCGTCACTTTAGTTCCGTTATTTCTGGTTGGTGAAATATATATATTTTGTTCTAGATCTTCAAACAGTATATCTGCAAACATGCCCTATGATATGTTCTTGACCAGTGTTTATATGGATCCTCCCTTGACCAATTTGTGCCAATATGTTTCAGTCTCAATTGTTGGCTCCCGCAACTGACATGCTTTCAAATAGCGAAGATTTGAAGGCGTTGGATCATGAGTTGAGGGCTGTATTGAGAGATATATTTTTTGACAACACTAAGCTGAGAAAGCAGATGAACTTTTTTATTTGTACTGCTCTGCAATCAGATAGTTCTACCAATGAAAATGGTAATCAAGGCTTAACTAGAGAGACTGTTTTGAAACTGCTTTTTGAAACATGAAACCATAGTACAGATGTAATTTTTACATTCCCTTCTGTGTAGCATGAGCAATTTTCTTGGATTATTGCTTGATTTAACCTTTGGCCTTGTAATTTTTTCCTGTGGGTATATGAAATACGACTTTAGGAAGCAATTCAATGTGAATACTGATAGTGTTGTATTATCTCTCATTTTAGTGCTTACCCATTTTTGTCGTAATTATGAATAACAATTTCATTGAGAAAAACCTGAAGTTAATATTAACTTTTTCTATTTACATCATGGTGTGAACAATTTAGGCAGTGTTTGTTGAATAAATTTTCAATTACTTTGGGAAATCTTACCTCATTCCATACTTCAGTAATATTTGTGACTAATCATTATCAAGCATTAATTGATTAAGTTGTCGAGCCTGAACTCGCAGCAAGCTTGTCTGTGCAATTATGCAACCCATGTAGTGTTGTGCTATTAACTCCTTGGAACTCTAGGGCTCTCAGCTTCTTATGATTCGAGTTTGCTTTGCCATCAGTTGACTTAAGCCATATTCGACTGAGCAGGGCTGCACATAGTCTCTCAGGTGTAGACAAAGGTATTGATCCTATCTTGAGAATCAAATTTGTTACAATATTAGTATATATTCACAGGAAGGGCTATTCTTTGAATGATCTCAACTGTTCAAACTCTTGGGTATAATACCTTGTCTCAAATGCTCTGGACTCAAAATTTTGCGGTGGAACAAGCAAAGCCTTAAAGCGGACATTAAACGTACAAGACTAGAGCTATAAGTCAAGTAGGCTACTCTACCCATTGCCTATCGGTTTTAGGATTGAACCCCACTAAATTTGCATATGATCATACTCTTCTCCCCAAAGGCTTATATAAGGCCTACCAAAAATTTGTCAATTGTCATACTCAATATAACCAGTCAAGTGTATCCAGGGGATTGAAAGCGTATTTGGAGCTGCTGCTTAAAATATAAAATCAATCAACATGATTCTCTTGGCCAAGAATTCGAATTTTGGCATTCGAATTTTGTCATGACCTTAGCACCAGGGTTCTAACAGAAACAACATATTTCAGAGCATAAACATTTTAAGTTGAAGATGATACAAACATTCTGTTGAATAAGGTGCATATCTAACTTGAGTTTGGTCGTCTAGATAGCAATGAAGGGTAAGATTACAATCCTCGATACAAATAATAAACATCAGTGCGTTCCATCCTAGTTTTCATTCCCTTCAACCTTCAATAGCGCTCAATCAGCCGCTGTTTACCATCAAACTGCATGAGATGAAGGAGATTGAAGCTCTGTTTCGAAATTTCCTTGCAAATTTTCAACTTGTTAAAGCTAATTCATCAGCCTCTCTCCGCATGTCCATTTTCGACCTACAATGATCAACATGAAATTCTTATGCAAGTTTTGGCAGTTGTGAATAAAATTTTTGGCAGTAATCAAGTAAAATCAATGTGTTTTTGTGCTTTTTTTACCTTAAACGGCAGTCTTCTAACTGGCGTGGCTCGACAAGAACATAAAGTGGAGTTCCTCTAATAAGCTTGAACTTCTCCTGCAACATACATTCAGTCAAAATTAGAGATGAAATACAAAGAGATATCAAATATTTTAGATCTCCTCATGTGTAACTCAACAGACCTGGCCTCCTGGGGAATCAGAAGTCAGAGAGGGGGGGGGGGGATAGCCGGGTTTCCGCTATTTGTTGTGAAAGAAGATGTAAATCAATCTTGCAATCCTAAATACTTATTATAGTGTTCACAAAATCAATCTATGGTTAGCTAGATATTCTATCAGGTTGGTTGGCCTTGTAAATAGTAACTAAAGATGAGCTCTTTCAGACAAAAAAAAAGCAGTAGGAAACTTTTAAAAAGCAATTACCTTGACTTCAGGCAATCCAATTACACAGGCACATTCAACCACCTCAGCGCCAACCCGTTCTATCAAGAGACAAACAAGTATAGAGCTTAGCAATGAAGCGTGGCCTCATTCTAATGGGCACAAACACAAAGATTGATGCGAAATAATGAAGAGTGAAACTTAATTATGAACTTACCAAGAAGTCCAATTGCTGCACAAAGTGTACCACCGGTAGCAACTAGATCATCAATTATCAATGCACGCTCACCGGGTTGAACAGCCCCAACATGCATCTCCAAACAGTCAGTTCCGTACTCCAGCTCATATGACTCCGAAATCACTTCCCCTGTCAAGCACAATATCGTGAACATTTCGATTAAAGATAAAACAAACTTTTGTCCACTTGTGGCCCAAATCTAGGATCTCAGTCCTACAGAGGACTAGCAAAGGATCAAGATTTTTATAAATGTGACCATGGTTACCGACTGAATTGAACATACCGGGTAGTTTTCTTGGTTTACGCAATGGTACAAACTTTGCGCCAATAGCTAAAGCAATTGGTGGACCAAACATAAATCCTCTTGCTTCAACCCCTACAAACAACGAATTTATAAATATAACATAAGCTTTTTACGCCTACATTGTGCATGAAAAACTATGAAAACTTGAAATGCAGTACTAGACATAAGATGTAGAAAAATGACAATCACATATTGTAGTAAGATAAATGATACTACTTATCACTTTTCATGGCAACCTAAGCTCTTAAGACCATTATTTGATCTCATAAGAGCGCAACTTTCCATTACTAAAAAAAACACAATTTTCAAGAAACAACTAGTTAAAACCTCTAATCAGCTCAAGTAGTTTGTTGGATCCTACAATCCGACCTAGGAACAGAAGTGTCCAACACTTGTTCATATACCCACGCCTAGCAAAACAAGCCCAAGCAACATGTAGATGATAAGCAAGCACCACAACATAACAAAAATTCTCCACTTGGGATTATAGGTCAATTTCCGACTAAGACATATACAATGCATTAAGGAATTGAAATTCACCCATCCACTTGTGCAAAAGCCATGCTAATTGTCTCTACACAGTTGCATCTTTAGTTGATGACTTAGAGCCTTAGAGGCTTATCACGTACACACCAAATGAACATAAATACACCATGCTACGCTTGAAATGGCCATTATTCACTTTCTGGAAATAGGTTTCACACCATCCACGATCTTTAACATCGTTCTGTAGCTCCTTGCCGTACAAGAGAGTCGTAATTGAGGCAGTTAGTATGTAACCCATTATGTCTTGGCCTGTTTAAGGAAAATTAAATAGAAAAGAAACCATTGTGCCCTAATAATGAAAAAGTTCCAAGGATGAATTGAGGTTTGGTGTCTCACATATGGACCCATAACATAAACGTTAAAAAGGACTATAACTAATTATCAAAACTTTGTTGTTTTCTGTTTGATCTAAGGCAAAGCCATAAAAGAAGAAGTGGGGTGGGGGGACTAATATGACCGGAGTAGGCCACAGGGAGACTTCAAATCTACTTATAATGTCACATCTCGAGATACAACAAGACGTCGAGTATGTACTCCCTCGACTCAAAAATACTCTGTAACAAGTCTAAATTATTATTACAGCGTAACATTCAAATATTCAAGAGTTGAACTTTAAAAATGTAATTTATCTAGTGTTAAATTCTTATTATAAAACGACACCATGAAATTGTATATTATTACAATTACAACTAAATATATTTCTTCTTCGATGCAAATTAAATCTCATTTATGTATCAATGTATCTTTTATCTTAGGTTAATTTGTAAATGGGTGGAGTATGCTTATGTAGTCATCCATTCAAAAATTAATCATTGGTAATACTTAAATGATAAGGGCAAGCATTAAAATATATCAACAAGAAGAAAAAACAGCTTCCCTTGTAATAATTACTTGTACTAATTATATTCTTTTAATAAAAGAAGTGATTATTTTACTAACTCGGATTCATAATCCTGATTAATGCATTTAAAATTGGATACTTTAGTCACTTTTATTCACCTCTTTTGTTAAAAATGCATAGAAAATCGTTTAAAAAGGAGATTAAGGATTACCTAAAACCACTATAATTGCGGTCCCGACCAATAATAAAATGACAAATCAGTGTTGGTAGATAGCATGAGTTGGCATTATACATTGTTTAGATTAAAATTTAGAGATATTAATATGTTAAGGATAACCATTGGAAGGTAAAGCTAGTTCCTTGTACTAAACATTGCATGTAAATAAACAAACGGTCAATGATACATTGACCCTAAAGGTTAGCTAGTTAGCGACCCTCACATTGTGATTAACCCGTGTCGTATTGTCTCTCACAAAGGTTAGTAATTCTCAGGACTGACCAACATTTTCCCGTACAAAATACACCATAACAAAATATGCATGCCCTGCCTTGCTCTACTAGTGTAACCCTTGATTAACCCGTGTTGTTGTATTGTCTCTCACAAAAATTAATAACTCTCAAAACTTACCAAACATACAAAATACACTATAGCAAAATATGCATGCCCTGCCTTGCCCTATTAGTGTAACTCTTAGCATTGACCAAATATTTTCCGTAAATTGAAAACACAAATTTAAAAGACACATGCTCCAAATAAATAAAAGGGAAATATAATAATATCTAAAAATGAACCCATTATCACTAAATAAATACTGTAGTAAATTGACACAAAACACTAAATAAATACTGTAGTAAATCTGAAAATTACAACTAAAAAAAAAAAAAACAAAATGAAAATTCTCATACATGAGAATATAAAGAGCCAAAAATAATAAAAATAAATAAATAAGAAGAGAGGGTAAATACCAGCAACAACAGAGATATTCATGTCTCTGTATCTGTCAACAAATATATCAATAGTATGTTTGAAGGCTACTGGGTCCAATAATAATGTTGTTATATCTTGGAACATTATACCTAACAAATTCAACAACCATTTAAATAATCAAATATATTTTACTGTATTAATTACCCAGAAAATTAAATTAAAAACCCAGAAATTTCATAAAATTATTAAAATAAAAGAAGAAGAACCTGGTTTAGGAAAATGAGGAACAACCCTAATGGCTTCAGAAATAGCTTGAAGCCTTGGATCTCCTTTCAGCCCATTCTCAGCAGCAAACATGTTTTCTCTCTCTCTTTCTATAACTTTCTCTCTCTAAAAAAATTCAAAAATGGAAGTAGAATTTTCAAGTTTAGAAGTTAAATTAGGTCAAAATTGAAGATGGGTATTTCTGGGAAATTGTTATTTTGCACAGTTTCTCTCTCCAAATTTGTTAGGAGTTTCACTTTCTCTCTCTAAAATCTGAGTTTTTAGTTTTTTTTTTTTGGTTGGGTGAAGCAGAGTAGTAGAGTGACAGTAACAGAGTAGAGTAGAGTGAGTAAATAGTGAGTAGAAGTTGCAGGAGATTTTAGTTTTAGTTTTTCCCTCCTAAAAATGAAATGGGTTGTCTGTTGTTTGTTGTTGTGTATTTTAATTTATTTATGAATATGAATTGAGTTTTTCTCTCTCTAAATCTGTGGGTTGATATGAGAGAGAAAGAGAGGAAGTGTTGGGGTTTAAATAAGAAGTTGGTGTGTATTTTTATTGGGAGTGTAGTGTGTTGGTTAAAACCAATGTACTAGTCTAGTCTTTACTCACTGCTCTAGGCTTAAAGAATAAAGATGCACTTGTTTGTTGGGAAGGTTTCATCTACCTTTTTTACTATCAACTTTTACCCCCTAACAACACAACATGTCAACATGCAATTAAAAAAACTTTCTTTTGTAACTTGACCCATTGAGGTAGAGGTGATCAACTAAGGTCCGAAAATAGGACGGGTTTATACAAGCCTTAAAACATATTTTCAGTTAAAAATTCAAATTCAGCCCGAAAATAGGGTGAGTTTGGACAAGCCTAAAAAAACATTTTTAGTTACAAATCTAAACTCGGCCCAAAAAAGCCTAGGAAGTCCGCTTTAGCCCGATAAGCCCACTACCTTTTCGTGTTTGGACACGAGAAATGATATTAAGGCTCGGCCCGAAATTTTTTATCACCTCTACGTTGCGGTTTTCGTTACTCCCTTTGTTTTGGATTTATCGCAATATTAATGTATAACTTTTTCCGTTTCAAAATAAATGACACAATCAAAATTTAGACATATGTTAATGCCTAGCTAGTTGATTATAAGCATTTACTCCGTATGAAACTTAATATTAATACTTATTTCCTCTATTAATTTCATATTAGTTGACACATTTTATTTAGGCACGTTTGCCAAATGTCAATGCATATATACTTTTAGATGTAAAAATCTTTATTACATATTAACAAGAATTATAAAGTTTTGATATTTAATTGGAAAATAGATATTGAAGCGAATCTAATAAGACCCCGCATGACTACTTTTTTTCTTACCACTTAATCACAAAGTATAGTCAAAATAAATTATGTGAATAGTGCACAAATTAAAGTTAACACGTGTCAACTAAACAAAACGGATGAAGCATTTAACAACATATTTCATGATAAATTTTATTTTTTATAAATTACTAAAAGGAAAAAAAAAACCTATGATCAAAATTAGTATATAAATAGTGAATAAGAGTCCGAAAGGTGAAATCTGAATAGGAGATTATTTTTTATTACTAAGTGCAAGTATTATTTTTTATTTTGGTTGGTTGGAATTGATAAAGACAAAGTTATTGGGACAAAAACCATGTTTAGCTCATCTTTTTTATTTGATTTGTTTTAATTTAAATCAATTTTCTAATTTGAATTAATTTTAACCTTATTTTGTACACTAAAAAAGCTGTCAAGTGAAATGGCGTTAGATTGAATTATTTTCAACTTAAGATAAGTTTTTAATTACACCCTACAAGGAAGGAAGAATACTTCGAATAGTTCATTGTAATTAGTGTAATATTTAGTACATAAATTTCTCAAATCTCAATACACACTATGGAGCACAATTTTTTTGGTAAAATGAATAACTTATAATTTCTCAATACAATGCACAAACATTGCAAATTTGTTTGATGAAGCGAGGTGATTTTAATTTGACGCAGTGTAAAACTCAGGAAAGTGCATAGTGCACGGGGGTGCAAATGAACGCAAGGTGAAAGTCGAAAGTGGTCACATGCAGGGCCTAAAAATTACTTACACTGCTTTGATTGCTTTCCCTTGCCTGCTAGTTTATGACTCATTTACTCAGGTAACTTTTCCAACCCATTCCAGCCTACTCCACCCTATCGTCTTTTTCTCTGTCATTTCAAACACTATTAGAGGCTTGTTCTGTTCAATTTGTCGTCGAGAAATACGGGGTATGAAATTATAAAAGTGTACCATATGAAATCCAATCGTAAAGACTCAAATTCATGGAATCAAGTATGAGTATGACCTAGGGGAAGAAATTCTCTTATTGTCGAGAATTGCTTGTGTGTGTGGAGAACAATTATTGTTCTATAATCGAAAGAATGGTAGGAAGGTGACTAATTTATAAGGTTTGTAAGATACTTTTTTTATTTTTTTTTGTCTTATAATTTTAAGATGAAACCTCATTTAACTTATATATAAATCATCGCTCCGATCTAGGGCCCTACATGCATTTGCCCCTCCTACAAAGCAAGCCACCAAACTAATCACTACTCGGTAGTTAGCTACTCTCAGCTTTCTCCCACACAAGTTACTACCACCTTAAGTCTTAACTCTATCAAGTTATTTTTATTCAATGGAAAGTCATACAATGTCCACTATACCATCTATTGCAACCTTCTTCAACAATTCATCAATATAAGATAAAGTTATATCATAAGAAAAACACGCCCAAAAACCTACAAAATTATACAAAAAGTGATGAATAATAAAACGAAGGTAACATAATTACATGATCCAAAGCAAAACTAAAATGGGTCCCAAATATGTCATTCCTTAGCATTGACTGCAGGCATGTTAGTTATAGTAATATCACAATCTTAGATGTCTTTTATTTGATGTAACCTTTGAATATCAACCCCATTATATTTCAGATTCCGATATGCTAAAGAATTTCTTGTGTAAATTTTTGGGGTCTTGTAAATTGACGCCTTTATATGTGTTTGTCAATATTATAATTCGGCTTACGACCCACGTTAGACAGCTTTATTAAGGTTTAGAGATGGATGTATACTAGGTGGTTCACTAGTTCAAACGTAATTGTAAGAGTAATGAATGAGAATTTAATTAGATGTGGAATTACGATTGTTCATGAATCACTAGCTTAAGAAACGAATCGAAAAAAGTAGTACGTATTTAATTTGATATTGATGACATATTGATTATAATAACGACCTTTTGTTTATCAAGTTTTCTCGTAGCTTGCAATTCTTAGAGGCTGTAAAATGCCAAATTATAATGAAAATATAAATGTTGAGTTGTGAAATTTTTACATGTTTTGATATATTTAATTTGATTATTTCCTTCAACACGAAAAACTCACAAGTATCGATTATTACGTATGGAGTACTTTATTGCTAATGCCATTATAGGGTTGCATATTTGTTTATATATCAATGCACATGAGTACGTGATCAAAGTATTATGTAATTCATTGAGTGGATAAAAATTTGCAAACCATATCCCTCGATTTTAAAATAATTAACGCAATTTTGATTTCTTACCCTATATTTATACATACTTTGACTAGTATATATAATTTTTTTAATCAATGTTCTGAAAACAAATGTTGTCATGATATTGCTACAAATATATGTACTATTTTAAAATTTCACAATATCAATATTTTCATAACTTTAACTAATATACTACCTCCGTTAACAGTTAGTTACAACGATTTGACATAATTGTAAAATAACTGTTAACGGAGGAAGTAATAATGATCAAACTAGTATGTTAACAAATATGCCAAACTTAAATACTCCTACATCGATTATTGTAAAATAAGTTAATATTACTCGGATCCGTACTTACTAGATCACAAAGATCAAAAACCAACGACTAAACGAGCATATAAGTAGTGATTATATGGTTGAATATATCCTATGTAAATATTTCGAGGTCCCCGGAAATTGACGGCTATGCGTTGTCAAAGCTATAATCAAGCTCATAGCCCATGGCCTAGATTTTAAGATTTGGAGATGGATGTTTTTGTGGTCCCCTTTTTTATTTTAACATTTCCTATTTTTCTTTTTATATTTTACCATGATGACGTGGTGGTACAGCTTGGATTTTTCAAACTGAGCTGGAGGGTCCATGTCATACTCCTCATATCTCAGCCGTTGATTGTGGATCTATAAAAGGAATTTATACTAATCTATTAAAAGAGATTCATAAGAACGTCTATGCGCTACGTAGACCCTTAGCTTGTTCATTACGCCACATCACCTACTCAACATCTCATTATGCCACATCATCCAATCAACCAACATTAATTCATATAAAAACATGAGGATAAAGAAATTTGAACACTCAACCACTTATAAGAAGAATGGTTATCAACCATATAAACATGAAAATAAATGTATATAATTAAATCACAAATTCTAATTTATTTTTTTTTTTAAAAAAAACAGCATAAATATCAAAGGTATATAATTACAAAGAATACTTAAAGTAACAACCCAGTGTAACGGGCTACACACCAATGACACCATCAAAAGACTAATTATATGACACGTGGAATTTTATGGAATGAAAAATAAATGGAATTGTGTCATTGTCAAATGTTGACCATAAAATATTCATTCTTTAATGGGGTGGACCCCACATTGGATACGATGATCTCATCACATTACACTCTTGACAGTGCTTCTTCCACATCAATTTCTTGTGAGAGTGTTTCACGCTCCAAAATTACTTACCCTAGAAAATTACTCTTAGAAATTTACCCTTGAAGGGTACATTTTACTCATCTATTTGGTACATTGAATGCCCTTTGCATTTGAATATTTCACGGTTGTTCATTTGAAGTTTTCAACCACCCGTGGAAGGATTTATGAAACATCATTATCGAATTAAAGATAGGATTTTTTGATCTAATTCAAGGTAATTTTTTGTATTTTGAATTTACTGCATATGTTATATGTTTTTTAATGTAATTTATTTTCAATGAAATATTAAGCCAGGCGAAGATCCAGACAATATGGTTGATGTCTGAAAGGCCTTTAGTGGGGCATTGCATGAAACCGAGAAAGATTGCACTCCGTACGAACATAAGCAATCTAGTAATTATTCTTCATAATATCACAATTGGAGATATTAGCCTGGCCTACGTACAGTGAATAATATGATCTATATTAAGAGGTTATTTGATTTGTCTTACTTTATTTCAATCGAAATAATTTTTTTTTAAAAAAAAAAAAACCCTAATGTTTAAATAAATTCAGACAAAAGTCATCACAAAATCATAGACAATTAAGGTAATTTCAAACAAATTAAGTTTAAGTTTTTTTTTCACATAAAATAAAATTCAAATCAAATAAGACAAGCCAAACAAAAAGACTAACGCCCTGTTTTTTAGAGTTGTTCTGCTGAAATCTACTATGCTCTGTTGAAATCTGCTCTGCTTAGTAACAATAATAACAATAATTGATAAAAGTAATGATAAATAAATAATTTAATAAATAATAAATGATAATAACAATT